GGTAATTTACTGCCTGGTTTATGTTGAGGGTATGTCTATTTTGAATTAACTGTTTCATATGCTTTAGGCATGTTTAAGAGGTTAACATTCCCTTTAAATATTTTGTTTGCTTTCTAGTTAATCTACTGACTTCAAAATGTCTGAAATAAGATCCAGCTATCTCACTTGGGATCAAATTATAGTCTTGGATCAAGTGTTGGAAGACATAATTCCAATTCATGGAAGGAGAAATTTTCCCACACTGGAGGTAAAACCAAAAGATATCATTCAGGTTGTGAAAGACCAACTCATAGAGCAAGGAATTATTGTTAAAGATACTCGATTGAATGGTTCCACAGCAAGTCATGTACTTGCAAGCCGTAATGGAATCAGCTATAAGGATTTGGATGTTATTTTTGGTGTCGAGCTTCCAAATGATCAAGAATTTCAGGTTGTTAAGGATACAGTTCTTAGTTGCCTACTCGACTTTTTACCTAAAGGTGTTAAAAAGGAAAAGATCACCCCAAAGACCATGAAAGAGGCTTATGTGCAGAAGATGGTCAAAGTCTGCGATAAGCATGATCGCTGGAGTCTCATCTCTCTTTCAAACAACACTGGGAAGAATGTAGAACTAAAATTTGTGGATTCACTCAGACGACAATTTGAATTTAGTGTTGATTCCTTTCAAATCATCCTAGATTCCATGTTAGCCTTTTACACTGACAAAAATGCTAAGCTTACCCAAGAATCCTATCCTGCTGTGCTAGCTGAAAGCATGTATGGAGACTTTCAGGAAGCAATGACACATTTGCAGTACAAGCTTATATCTACCAGAAAACCTGAAGAGATTAGAGGTGGTGGCCTTCTCAAGTACAGCAACTTGCTGGTTCGTAACTTCAGGCCAGCTTGTGAAACAGAAATCAAGATCCTGGAACGTTATATGTGTTCTAGGTTCTTCATTGATTTTCCTGATGTAGGAGAACAGCAAAAGAAGATTGAATCATACCTCCGAAACCATTTCATAGGTGAAGAAAAGAGCAAGTATGATTACCTTATGACCTTGCGTGGAGTTGTGAATGAAAGCACTGTTTGCCTTATGTCTCATGAAAGAACACAGACTCTCAACATGATCACCATTATGGCTTTAAAAGTACTTGGAGAACAGAATAT